AGGTTCGGGGCAGCGTCCCGCGTGGCGCCTGTGCATCTCCAGGGGTTCCGTGGGCAGGCGTACTGAATGCAGACAGAGCGGGGGTTATATTGTTCCCAGCCTCCCCCGTGGCGGTCTGAATGGTAAATATAATGTATATAAGGCAGCACAGTGCTGTCTTGGACATCTCTGGGGAGCACTGCGAACCCCTGGGTAGCACCGTGCTTTTCTTGCAGAGAAAAAATGTGTTTCCAGAATGCCCCGTGAGTGAACATCCCATCTTAGAACCAGCCAGTTTCAATATTGCTCTCACTGGAGTGTGTGCCAAAGTAAAAACACCCTCCTGTAGCTGTATTCCACATTTGCAAAGGTCCCTTTTGTGCTGGTGCTCAGGAAATCCTGGTGTGGGTGCTTCCCCGTGCAGCTCCCATGCCTTTAGCAAGGGCCTGCAGGCCCTATGGGTTACCCCATGGGTTAGGCAGTTTGGGTTTCACTGATTACAGTGCAGGGCCAAAGCAGCCCCCTCCCAGAAGGGCTGGCATATTCATCAAGGTGTAGTAGGGTTTTGTGTAAATGTTTTCAGTTAGGATTTTGAGAAAACAAGATCTGCTTTGAAAAGGACCATTATTTCCACAGAATAACTTCCTTTTATTAATGTGAATTATATTCCTATCCTATCTTCTGTTTAATCATTTCATCTTTTAATTGATATTCCAATTGTGTTGTGAGAACCTCTTGAAATCTAATGCAGCATCCCTTTTAATTTTTTTAGGGTTATGTCTTTACTAAAATCGCATCTTTGACTGCAGTGATATTTGTTGAGCACAATACCTTATTGCCGATTGTGCAAAAATAGTGATGTATTTTCATATTTCAGGGAGTGCCTACAGTGTTTGCCTTGAGTAACCACCTAAGCCCATATAACCTTGTCCATTTACAGTAATTTAAAAAAGTTGCTTTTTAATATGAAGCGAGAGGTTAATATTTAATGATAAGCTGCATGTTCCTTGCAAAATAAAAGTTGGCAAGAGCAAACAGTCATCAGTCATACCAACTTCGTTGGAATGAGTTGTGTAGAAGACAATTACTGTGCATGTTTTCAACTTTTCAGTTTCTGTCATTGTCACATGTATCATATTTTACATTCTTTTAGTTATCAAACATAGAATTATAAGGTAACTTAAGCTTTTATTAAAAATCAAACCTGCTTAGCCAATGGCTATTCCTCTAATACTTTGTGGGGACTTTTTCACTGATGAAAAATTGACAGTTCTGGAAACAATAATTCCTGGATAAATCCTTCTGCTAGGTTAAATGGATTTGGGCCAATTTTAACCATTACTTTTTATACCACTGTGGATATTGTACATTTTTTCGTATGACCTTTCATAATAGTCCCATTAAAATCAAATTTGATAACTTATTAGTGATTTTCTGACATTATCGTAATGCAAATTAAAAAAAAACACACACATGTGTTTTCCTTAGAAAATGAGCAAAATTAAATTAAGGTTTCTACAAGGAAGTATCAGTTGCAACAGCTCTTATACTGTTAACTGGAATTAAACTGGAAACTAGTATTATCAGATTTTTTTTTTTTTAGAGAAAAAACAATATATGCACACGGTCTCTCTCTCTATATTTTTTTCCCTGTTGTGATTCCAGCTTATTCAGAGTTATGTGAACTTCCTGATTACTGTGTTATGCTGTTTACTCGTTAGCAACAAACACTCTTTAGCTTTCTGAGTATTTTTGACAGGCCTGTCATTGAGCAGCGGGTGCATAGGCCAATAATAGAGTAGGTACCTACAAATTATGAATATAGGGTAACAGTCAAGAAAAACATGTTTTGTTTATAGGTAATCCATGCCACGTGGTGCCACTTAGATGCACAGAACACTTAGTCTTTGTATTTGCTCTCATGGCTGCTGTTAGGCAAGTCCTTCAGCATTTTCTGGGGCTGCAGAAAGCTGTTGTATGTGGGGTTATCTCCTGCCTTTGCTGTGAGCATACCTGTGTTGTCTGAGACCTAAAGGCCAAGGGTTTTATGGAATCACTTGATTGACCAGAACTCAACACTTACGATCATTTGAAAATAATAATCTTTGTACTCCGGTGTAGAGTGCGTGTAATTCTGACCTGATTAACCTATGGAGTGTGTTACTTCCTTGCCTAACATTGTTGCCTGGTGACTGAGCGAGCCATCTGTCCTCCTTCGGGAGTCCCAGGGAATCACATGGATGGAAAAAATTCAGATCACATATTAATAAAACTGAGATATTGGCACCTGCAGGGCTGTATTGTATTGTATTGTATTAAGTTTGAGAAGAGAGTTGTTAACAATTGTCTTACATGGTTAAATATTTTTATAGGAAGTATTACTTGCAAACATACCCGCAACTGTTGTCATCTTTATCTTCTGACTAGTCAGGTTTTCCTTAGGCTTGCATTAGTCAGCCTTTAAGGTCTTGGGACCTTTTTAAGTCTACTTACATTGCTACAGAAGAAATAAATATAATAATCTGCCTAGATTGCTTTCTGATGTGTTTCTGTAGTTTCCGCTTTCTGATAATTGGGTTTTTGTTGCTAATGAAAAAAAAAATGAATCTTAGAAATCTTATTGCTTCCTGAAGTGTTGTCATGCTGCTGTCAAGGCAGTATGTTCACTTAAAGTGATAGAAATCAGAAATGAGTAGTAGTTGAAATTGCCCTGACTTGTCAAAGATCTGAAGTTGTAGCACAAGTTCTAGTGGTCTGGAATTGCTACGGTATGTTTTTAACCTGAAGTCATTCACTAGCAGAAGCAGGGAAGAATGTCAGTTCTATTAAAAAGCTTAAAGGTGTTTTTAATAAAAGGATTTTTTTTTCAAAAGAATCTGAATTTTGTGTCTGCAGAATCCCAAAACTTCCGCAATAGTGAAGCAACTGGTTGCTGAAGGAAGTGCAGGTGAGCTGCAGAAGTATTTTGGCTCACGGATGGAGTTTGGCACAGCAGGGCTCAGAGCTGCCATGGGAGCCGGCATTTCCCACATGAATGACCTGACAGTTATCCAGACAACCCAGGTATTGTGTTGACCCTTTTGTCTCACTTCACTGGTCCTTTCTGTGAATGGAAAGGACTAATTTATGACAAGTAAATGGATATTCAATGGAAGATTAAATGTTTAGCTATTTATCCAATGTTGTTTTTCAGAAGTCACTTAAATAATAGTTAACTGAGAACTGATCATAAAAAACGTGCAGAGAGAAGCTCTAAAGCCAACACATTATCTTCCATATCTAACATGCAATTGGATTCTACACAGCTAGAGATAAGCTCAAGTGGACTGGTTGGTCCTGTTATAACAGCTACAAAAAATGAAAGGTAGACAGCTTTAGGCTACACTTTACGTGTTCTAAGTTTCAGTTCACATAAATATACTTTAATACCTATATGTGTGTATAAATATTTTCGGGCCATCTATTTTGTTAAAAAAAAAATAAAAGTGATAATTGCAGCCCGGTCTGCTTAGGTATTTTGTCCTAAGGAGGGGCCATGATTAAAGATAACATTCAAAAACTGAAATGTTGGCCCTTGTGATTACTTAAAAAGTTCTCATACAAGGAAGCAAACAATCGAATTGCTATTCCAAATCTGCAATTCAGACTAATCATATTAACTCTTTCTGTATGGACTTGATTCTGATTTATGGAAAGTCATGTAAATACTATCAGACTTCACTGTATTGATTTGAAAGTTTTTGCTATTTCCTGCTGTTTATTAGCCCTACACAAGTTGAACCGAAATCCAGGTTAGTACTTGTTTTGCTGATGAATCATCTTGCTGCAAGGATATGTTAAATATTAAGATTGGGTTAATGAAGTGGCTTTATTTTCTTCAGGGATTTTGCAGATACCTTGAAAAAAATTTCAGTGACCTGAAAAAGAGAGGAGTTGTGATTGGTTTTGATGCTCGTGCCCATCCTCCAAGTGGAGGTAGTAGCAAAAGGTACTCTTCAGGTATTGCATATTTTATAGCATAATTACATAGTTCACCAGTTCTAAAAGCTGTTTCAACAGGGTTTTACATTATTTTTATATTCTCTCCATGCCAAAGTAGTTCTTGGTTGTGCTTTGTCAGCTGGGAATAGGGAGGGAACACATTTTGGTGTTTATATGGCTACATTTGGTCCATATAATACTTTCTACTGCCCTTTTTTTTTCCCATTCCCTTCCCTTAGAGTGAGGGACAAATAAACTGTAAGTTATAATTTGTGAGTAAATTAATAAATGTATGTATTTCAAGGAATATTTTCCTATTGTTTAGGTTTGCAAGACTTGCTGCTAATACTTTCATCAGTCAGGGAGTTCCAGTTTACCTGTTCTCTGATATAACACCAACTCCTTTTGTGGTAGGTTTCTCTATTATATCTGTTTTATATATGCACAAATGTTGTCACATATAAAAAAATAATACTTCTATTATGGAAAAATCAGTAAACTACTTCTAATATTTAAAACACTTCCGATATTTAAACATAAACTCAAAGTTTTATGTTTATTTAACTATATTTATCTTACAACACCTACTACACTAAAAGGAAGAAGTCTCTGACATGAGACATGTTCCCATGCTTCATTCATGCTTTCAGGCTTATTTCTTTTATATAGAATTTCATAGTTTCCTGGTTGTTGTTGTGAAGTGATAGGAGGATTTTGGGGACCTTCTGGAGCCCTTATATTAACCTGTTTACTTCACTCGTGCCCCGGTAGCTGCTTTTCTTGTCCCTTGAACTCAGCTTAGTCCTTGATGTTCTATCCTGTAAAAATTCAGTGTGCATTCCACCCCCACTTTTCGACCATTTTTAGTTATAACATACTTTGAGCTGAAATGGTCATGCAAAAAATACTGAAATATAAAAATGAGCAAGTCTGAAACATTTACCTTTTTGTTCTTGTGCTTTTTATTTTTGAGGGGAAGGGGAAAGGTCTTCATCCAAAGTAGACTTTTCAAAAAAACAGGCTGCTAAAGTGCAGTGGCAGTTTTGCTGTTACAGAATGTGTTTGTATTTCCACCATCATATCACTAGATGTCAGTGGAGCAATAAAAAAGAAAAATTACTCAAAGCAACAGTTTGTCCTCTGCAATTCCAGTTGCTCCCGTGGCTGCTGTAAACATGTAACTTACTGGGATGGAAAGCATTCCAGTACTGATACAAATTGTGGATCAAACACTTCCTAGGGCAGCTCAAAACAGATTTGCAAGAACTAAAGTTGATTGCCTTCACTTCAATAGCCAGGGCAGAACTAGAACTGGACTGCTGGTCACCAATAATACTTAGTTTTTAAGGAATTCCTCTTTCGGACTACTTTATAATAGCTTTCTCCAAAACAGTACAACCATCATGGTCAGTGTGGTTCAGGATAGAATGTGCTCCAAGGCCTGCTCTTAAAAGACAGTAGAGATGACGCTGCTACGGTTTGAATTCTCTCTGCCCTGTGCAAACTTCTCTCAATTCCTTTCGCAAGGTTTTGTTGTATAAAAATACTGGCACTTCCCAAAGCACTTGAAATGACACTAAGAGTGTTTAAAGTAGAAGAACACACAAAAAATAACAGCTGTGCACATGCCAGGTGGGTGCCACTTGCTGAGGCAAATACTGTTTAGCGTCTGCTTTAGGGAGTCAGTCTGGAGGACTCATTTCCTGGCCTTCCTCTTAGTTAGTAGTATTTAAGTACTGCATGTCAATGAGAATAAAGCTTCTTATCATATTTCACATAATTCAGATAACTAACTTTCATTACAGCCCTATACAGTAACTCATCTGAAGCTTTGTGCTGGAATTATGGTTACTGCTTCCCATAACCCGAAGCAAGATAATGGTTACAAGGTATTCTTTAAATATTTTCTACTTCTATTTTTTTTCTTGTAAAGACATTATCACATACTCTTGTATATAGTTCCAATCATATTACAGAACAAAAAACGTATTAGTTTATTCTTGAGATACCATATTTAGAATATGGTAGCACGTTATACTGCTAATGACATTGATTAATATCTTAGATCCAAAAAGGAAGAAGATAGTGAACACCTTAGCATATTAACTGATCTGTTTTATGCATTACTAGATTCATTTTTTTAAAAGATCCCTTTACAGATTGTTTATTTTTAAAAGATCTCTTTACAGTTGCAAACACATAAAATTAAAACAGATATGGAACCTAATGACTTGCTTGTACAAAGTACTTTAAATAACTTCCATTAATTTCATGAAATCTCATTTCCTTTTTCTAAATGATGCTATTGATCAGTGTGAGTTTTTTTCTATGCTGCAAGAAACAAATGACCCAGAAAGCCATAGTTTGGCGGAAGTCTTGAGGCTTTTTATTCTGGTTTTTTGTTTGTTTTTAATGGAAGGCCGATGAGCTACCAGTGGCCAGTCAGCAGCTGGGCTGTTCACATTGACACTGTTACCAAAATGCAAAACTCTGGAGGTTAAGAGGTTTCTGTTGATGGATAAGCAAAGTATTCATGGAGATCGTTTTTGTTCTCTCTACCTTGAGAACTTTTTGTCTTACTGTTTAAATTGCTTTTTTTTATGTTTTCATATATTGATTTTGATAGCTTTTCCACGTGTTCAGATGCTTTGAAAATTACTCTTCAATAAACAATTTAAAAAATCAAACTTTTATTTAATTTGATGATCTGTTATTTGGGCAACATATTGTCCTAGATGCTTTTTGGAGGCTTTTTTAAATCTGTGATGTGTAGATTTGTGTTTTGTACATCAGCAGGGGAATGATTCCAAACAGCTGTCGAAATATAAAACATACTAAATAGACCTAATCCCAGAGACATAAGCAATCAATAAAAAGGAGAGTAGCGCAGGAATGAACACATTAAAACTTTCTTAAATTTGTGCTTGCTGTGGTGCCAACATGGCTGCTTTTATGCAACTGCAAGCTCTTCATGTGTTTCTCCTTAAGGATTTTTTGTGGTAAGAGTGTTTGATTCTTACTTTACTTTTTTAAGGTTTTTTTTTTTGGTTTATATAGTTTAGCTAAAAAATTATAGAAGCTTTTATAATATATCATAGATAAGATCATTTCTAAATCAAGCAGGCAGGCTGATTACTTGTCTTCTCAGTAAATGAGCTGAGTCGTCTTGTTTTTCATTGTGGACTTTGATTATAGATGCAAGAAGAAACACTGATTACTAACATAGGAATACTGTGGGTGTATTTTAGTGTATGTGCCAGCTAATCTGGTATCCACCACTAAATTTAATAGATCTCAGTCAACAAAAAATAACAAAGCTATTTGTATAATACTGATGACCAAAATAATCTCTTATCCTCTTATCCTAAACCACTTAGGTTTACTGGGAAAATGGTGCTCAGATCATTTCCCCTCACGACAAAGGAATTTCTGAGGCCATTGAGGAAAATCAGGAGCCATGGCCTCAAGCTTGGGATGACAAACTTGTTGACAGCAGCGTGCTACTTCATGATCCGTATGCCACCATCAGTAAGGACTATTTCAAAGACATACAGAAACATTGCTTTCACAGGTAACTGGTGCTAACTTGGGTGAAAATAAGGCATTTCCATTTAGTTCTAGATAGGTCAGCATGGTGGCCTAAGTTAATATAAGCCAGGCCAGCCATGTTCCTGCCTTTTTTTCCAGTTCTGTCTGTGCTCTGTTGTCACCTTTTGT